TATTCATACAACTATTGTTAATTCTGAGCAGTGAAGAAAACGAATCTCGGCTGCAGGAGTAATGAACCAGCAAGCAGGAAACATCAGCAAAACTTTGATGGGGTTTCCAAAAAGAAAAGGTATCATTTAGAGGCCACAGAGCATGAAAGCAGAAAACAACTGCCAGGTAAATTGAGAGGAGGAAAGTGATCATGTTATTTTCCTAGGGGAGGTGTTGTTTTTCCAGGACTTAGAGCAGAAACATTTCCACCTCTAGCATTGCCCATCATCTTCCATTCTGTCATTCTAGCTGTCAACATAGCATGCTAATTTCTCATTATTTTTAAATAGCCATATTGGCTGCAAGTTCAACTCATCTCTAGTGACTGTACTAAAGCATTTGGGTTGGAAATGATGCCTACAATCCAGGCAAAGTTGTTGGAATAGAATTAAAGTAGTTAGTCCCAACGCCACCAGTTTCTTTTTGCCTTTTATTCATGCGAAGGAACTGGCATAAAATGAAGTTGTTCATGACTGTGACTAGAAATGGAAGACAACGACAGTGGTACCTCGGTTTACGAACTGAATCCATTCTGGAAGTCTGTTCTTAAACCAAAACCGTTCTTAAACCAAGGCACGCTTTCTCTAATGAGGCCTCCTGCCGCCGGTGCCCTTCTACCGTTCAGATTCCATTCTTAGACCGAGGTAAAGTTCACAAACCGGGACACTACTTCCGGTTTTGTGGAGTTCGTAAACCAAATCGTTCATAAACAGGGCTGTTCTTAAACTGAGGTACCACTATAAAGTAATTGTTGAACGCATGAAGCCCTTTTACAGCGATGTAGTGTGAACTTGACAAAGAAGAACTGACTGTAACATATGTTCCAATAATAAATCTAGTTTTGCCCTTCAGAAGGAAATGAAGGCTGGCTATTTTTAAACTTTGGCTTCAACCATAATAGAATATTCTAGTCAAACATATGTAGGAAAGTATTTTCATTGTAGTCATGTACAAGAGTCTCTTCATTTCCTCCTACGTCCCTGATCACTGCCTTGTAATATCTAAAAAGAATGGCACCAAGATTGAGTCTACTGGGGAACCATACCAATAGCTATGGAAGTCCTACTCATTTGTCTTAAGTGTGCAGTGACAGACTGCACTTGGTCAGTGATGAGAGACAGGCATGTTCTTGCTTTCCTCTAAGGCTTCCAGGATTCTTCCATAAGGTGGAATTCTGCCATCAGTGTATGTGTTTCTCTTTACCAGATGGAACGATTCCCTTTTCCTGCCCCCGTGCACTGTTATGGGGGTTCTCCAGACCCTCCCAGGCAGATTTGGGGAGGGCATGGGGACACATGGGGCAGGGAGAGGCAGAAAGTCCTGTTGTTTCAGTGGGCCTCTTTGCACCAGTTTCCACTACCACAACAGCTTAGTTGAATCTGGCCTCGAGGACTCAAAACAGTGGAAGACTGAGCCCTGGTCACCTACCCAGGAAGTAATAGTGTTTGTGTAATGGAAGCTTAGATGCAGCCCTCCAGTCCACCATGCAAATAACAGACATGGGTGTAAATCAGAAGCGTTTGTTAATTGTATCAACAGAGTGGCCATGGAGCTTCACACTCCAAACCCATCCCTACCATCTCCAACCTTCCCATGTGGCCCTGATTTGGGGTGGGAGGACTATAACTGTGTTTTGACAAAGCGCCATGTAAACTCTCATCAGATCTTTCCATTCAACATGGGGAGGCGGGGTGGAAGGTTCAGGGTTTGCCTGCAGAGCCCTGCCACAGATACAGTTAAACAAATATCTGAATAGGGCTCTGGAATCTCTGCAAAGGGGTGTCGTTCTTGGAAAGCACTCATTTTCAAGGTATCAGAGAGGACCTGAGCCCTGATAACAATTAAGCCCTGCCTTTCTTTTGGACAAGTTTGGCTCTTCGGGGTTTCCTTAGGCATTGTTTTTTTAACAAGCTAGAGACATGATTCATCAGTGATTGTCTTTTGTGTGTTTTTAGGTGGTTTGTGAGACTGTGACAAAAATAATACATTAACGATCCAAGGTTTCACTGAAGCTTCCATCACAGGCACTTCCGTGGTGCAAGTTGCTGCATTCATGACCTCCTATGTGGGAGAACTTTTAATTTTACCTCCAATGTGTAATCAGTTGTGATTAGAGTAATTTATGAATTGATGATGAATCACATAAGTCAGTAATGAGCTACAGGTAGCGTGCAGAGTCCTGGTAATGTTCACCCACTTCCAACATTGCTTTCCCTTTGCCTTCACCCTGTGAATGCCTTCACTGGTCACAGTATAACAATAGTGGGTGGCATGGTGGGGCACCTCTGGTCACCTAGTCAACAGCTGTGTCATTGCTGCTTACCAACATGTAAAGGGCAAAGTGGCAGTGAGGTTGGCAAAGAGCAAACGTACTGGCCGGACCATCAAATTGGCTCCCACAGCGCATTCGTACCATGCTGACCTTGCTGCCTCACCTCTTCCCCTTTGCCTCCCAGTAAGCAGCACTGATGTGATGGACCAATGATCAGGGAAGCAGGGCCACCTCACCACACCATCTGCTACTGTAGTACATAGTGTGTGAACTGATTTTAATTGAGAACCTTTTCAAAAACCACCATAGAAGAAGAAACATGGTCCTTGTTACAAAAAGTTTTTTAAAAAACTTAAACCATGGAAACTTAAACCGTGGAACATGGCATCACCAGCCAGTCACAATTCATAGTCCAAACATTGATTGCCTGACACATGTTGCCTGTAGTTAATTATGATACCAGTCTAGAACTTGATACTGAATTGACCTGAATAAGTTGTCTTTATTTACTGCAATCCTCAACAGCTTACTCTGATTAGTCATACGATTCTGATACATAGGTGTGTTTTTGGTGTGTGTGTATTTTGAAAGTGATAGGCTTCTAAAAGAAGAGGTGAAATCCCACAGATGAGCTGGTCAGAAACGAGGAGCTCTTACTTGAAAAGAAAACTAGTTTATTAAATGGCCAGATTTGGTGAATCCAGTTTATTTTAAACCAAAGTACACTTTTAGAACCTTGACAGTTGACCTTCCATGGGTAAGAATGTTGAACTGTTTGGGGAATCATGGGCTCCTTTTAGTGGCTGATTGTATCCCTCCTCCTCATGCTCTGTGAAACTAAAACCCGACAGCATATTCAGATGTGGGCTGCCCTAGCATAGAGCACCTGGTCCATGTTTGTGGACATGGTGACAATGACCAAATAGTGTATAGTTAAGTTTGCTTTGCAAAGCTCAGACTGAACCTTGCAACTATCATGTGCTCTCCTTGCTGAATTCATACCCATGAGTAGCTCTGGATGCTATTATGTTGGGCAGATCCAGGAATGCAGTTTTAACATGTGATTCAAGTACATGTGCAGTGTATGTGCATCAAATATATACATTGCCAAGCTTTCTATGAGCATGAAGGGGAGGAAGGGAATCTCAGGTGACTAAGCAATGTAATGAAATGAGTTGTTATCGTTATTTTATTTTGCTTTGAAAGTTTTGTGGGTTTCTCAGCCACTGAGGAGGAAATCGTATTCTAAGAAAGAAATGTGTTTGTAAGCCTGGCGTTGATTTTATCTCTTGAAAGAAAAACTCTCTTCTCTCTTTCTCTCTCTTTCTCTCTTTGTTTTCCTTGCAAAATTCCCAGAGTTCAGCCACTATGGTTTAATGGCTCCCCTAACACTCTTTTGCAATTGTAAGCACTCAGGGGTTTCACTGAAAAGGGTGGCTGGATGCAGCTTCAGGACTAATTGTATCCTACAAAGTTATGTAATTATGCACCAACAGCTGAAGGGACACAATTTTAAGTCAACCTATTGTGACAGACACTGTGTAATGTCATACAATCAAATGCAATGTTTAGTAAACATAAACCTCTTTGTCATTTTGTATTTATTTATACAGGTTTAAAAAAAATAAAGCACACATTTAAAAAAATGTGTTTTTGGGTATATTTGTATTGGTTTATATCAATTTTATACAAAGAATTGTACAACTGTAAGAAATTGTTGCAGTCCCACTGGACAACCCATTTAAGCACACATCAATGGGAATAAATAGGTTTAGGCCCAAGAATGACATACATACAGCTTTTTCTGCTGTGCCGTTCCCCCAGCTTCATTCTTTTATTGGCCCATGTACCAAGTATGGATTTTCTAGCATGGATTTTTGCTGGCATCTCCATTCAGACTTTGGGAGGGGGGCAGATTTCATCTTCCCATCCCTCTGTCCCCTGCTGATTTTCAGGGTGTTTAGTCATTTAGAACATTTATTCAATACCTTTCTTTAAAAGCCAATCATTTTGGATTTTTAATACTTGGGGGGTGCACTTTCAGAGTGAAGGGGCTTCATGATTGCCAATCAGCACTATGTACAGCCAGCGATGAAGCTTTATTATCGTAGTATGAGCCAACCAACATTTTACAGTCAGCTTCTCTGTATACAGGAAGGGATTTCTGCTCCTATTTCTGCTTGATCTAACATAAACCAAGCTTGATTGAATTTCTAGATGTTCATAGGCACTAGAGGTTCATAGCAGACTCAGCTATAAGATGTGTAACATCTGAGCCAAATTCTGGAATTTCAGCTCACCCAAAGGTTTCACCAGAAGTGGTGACACCAGATTGGCGCTGCCCACGCCATATCAGCCTCGTTGTCTCCTCTCTCCTCCACCAAGGAGGTTAGCATTGAAATTCCATCCTACAGGCCCAGACACTTCTGAACTTAATTGTTCTGCCCTCGTAGCAATTCGTAATAATAATATTCAAGATATTCCCTGCCTTACAGGTACCTAAGATGCTGTTGTTTCTTGCTCCTGCCAAGTACCTGCTTTATGGTACACGATGGAAGGAACTGTAGGTTTTGAAAGAAGCAAAGGACCATCAAGTTCAAAGCTTTGCCACTGTGCAGAGAAAACCATCTATCCAATTCAGCCCTGGCCCAAGCAACCTTTTCAATGGAAGCTGAAGTATAATAGAAGATGGACACAGCTGCTTCAGATACAAATGTGATCCAAAGCCACACGCTGCAAGGTAAGATTGTGCTTTGTCTGTGTGTGTTTACCATCAACTAGACCTAGAAATAAATTCCAAACATTACGTTCAGATCATAAGTGGAAGCAAAACCCATGCCACTCAAATCTTTTTTCTAGAGGCACTGAATGTCTAGAGATATGGGAAGAATTCTGAAGAGCATATATGTGGAAATTTACTGGCCCAGAGAAACCTCTCTTCAGCAGTACTTCTTTCTGAAATTGCTTCTCCTTGACAATTCTCTGGTGATATTTTTTCAGGGGGTGGGGGGGTGTGGTCTGGGAAGAGTCATCCTGACCTGTAAGCAATGATACCCCCCAAATCTAAGGAAGGTTTCTCTGAAAATCCAAGCTCAAAGCTGAAAATATATCTCTTTCCTCCACTCACATTTCACTTGGTGTGCAGCAGTAAAGCCATATGTTTTTACTGGGTGAATTGATCTATTAATATTTGGGGACTGGGGAATTCTCTCTCAGAATATAATGTTTATAATCATGGAACTTTCTTCCAGCCAACCCATTCAATGTTTCCTTGATATGTCCAACTGGCATGGTTTTCAGGGAGTCTATTAGAAGACAAAGGTAAGAACTGGCTTCTTAAATCAGATCATAATTATACAATTGGATAAGAACAATTGGGCAATGCTTTTTTAAAGGGGGGAGGGAAGACATCCTGAAGAGATGAATTATGATACCTATTTTTAATATGGAACTATTGTTCTGGCACACCAAGATAGAAAGCAAAAAAACAGGAGATCTGGGTGATTTATTTGGTTCTTAAAAGTTAATTCAGCACACGTCTTTCTTATGGGCTTATGAAAGTCCTCTCTGCGGGCACAAAATGGTTTGAGGGAGAATTTTAGGATTTGTGTGGATGGACCTAAGAAACAGCTGCTGTAGCAGCACGGTCTCTACCAGCCCTTGCTGATTTGTAGGACAAAATCTGCATGAGGTTAATGCATTTCTAGGCTATTAAACCTCCTACCTATGCCTTCTATGCTATCAAAAATTAAGTGATAACCATGTTTTGGTCTATCACAATGCTCTCAGAAAAGATGAGTATGTGAGTGTTCTTAATGCAAACATGCATAGCAGAAAAACCTATCAGGCAGTGCCACATCCCAAGATGTTGGACTATACTTCTCACCCTCCCTGACCATTGGCATGCTGGCTAGGGAGGATGGGAGTCCAGCAACCTCTGGAGGACCACAGGCTCTCCATTCCTGTCTTGGACATGTGGGGAACAGTTCCAAACTCACTTACAGGAGGAAGGTAGCAATGTCTCCCCTTGCCCAGTTTTCTGCTGAAGCATCCCTATGGCATTAGAATTTGCATTTCTCAGAGGCAACAGAGACTTCTTTTCAGAAAGTGCAACATGCATAAGTTATATCTTAAGAATTACCAGTCAGTGTCAACAATGACCATGTCACTGACACAAATCATAACAACCTGTTATTCTGACAGGCATTTGTTTTTTAAAAGGAGGATAGCATTGAAAGAGCAACATAATGGGAGAGGTGTTTCCAGCTACCTCACCCTTTGCTTTTGGGAGCCTTATAAGAAGCTGCTGCAGGAGAGAGACGATGAGCAACATCATGGATGGGTGCTTCTAGGGCTAAGGTAAAACTGTGATGCCCCCTTGTTATTTTTGCTATTGGGTGCTGTATGCTGTTTAAATAATCTTGGTATATTTATAGTATTGAAATGTGACTTTTTGTATGTTGTTATATTTTTATTTTTCTGTGTTATTATGTATTTTTTACTATGTTACTATTTTGTTATGTTATTATGAAATTGTTCTTCTGGTGTTTCTTTGTTGTAAGCTGCTTTGAGCATGATGCATTTTGTGGAACAGCGGCATACAAATGAAATGAATGAATGAACTGAAAGACGACACGAATATCTGTGAAATGGAGACCCTTGATATTGCCAGTCATTCATCAACAAGTAATTTTTATGACATTACCAAAGGGATTTAAGGGCTCTAAATACAAACTGAGCAGCAAACCGAATACACATTTTTTCCCTGCCTTATAAAAGTCCCTCCATGTTGCCGCTTTCCACTGCTGCAGTATTAGTAGCAGAATCCAGCAACAGCCCATCTGTATTTTTCGGGAGACTGTCAGAATGGGAAGAGACTGGAGGTCAGTGTCAGGAGTATATGAGATTGGAAGAGTGCTGCATTTTGCAAGCCTTTTGTGATGGTAGCATTCTCTCAGTTTCTGTCAATGTGGAGTTCTGCAGTGTATTTTAATAAGCAGTGCTTATCCTCTACTGCAGGCTTGTCGTGTGCATATGATACGCCAGCCGTTTACTCTCACCCAGTGGGTGCTTGATAAGCACCCATTTGTGATGGCTGCAAATCATCAAGCACATTGGAGCTTCCCTTCTGACAAACAAGAATGAAAGCATCTATTTTCCTCCTTCAGGGATGCTTAACAGATAACATGTAAATAAATAAATAAAGTCCTCTTTTATTTCTTTTTAATACAATTCTGTACCTTTACACTCACATTCTTGAGGAAAGCCCAGAACAGGGTGCACAGGGACACAGAGGGAGAGGAGAGGGAGGCAAAGTTCTGTTGCACAAGCAGAAATCCTTGCACCAGCAGAAGCACTTAGCTGGATATCACCCATTGAAACCAATGGACTTAACTTACTTAAGTTCAGTTAATCTACTCTGAGTATGATTAAGGTTGCATATCACCCATTAATAATAAAACAGTAAAAAAATAAATACAAGAGTCACATACATTTCTTTAAAAACTTTGTCAGGTAAGATGTCTGTCTGAGTAACAAAGATATAATAATAAAACCCAAGAGCATAGGTACAAACATTTTTTCAATGCAACCTGTGTGAAGACTCTCACATGCATCCCAGCTAGTATTGCCTTGGCCACGGCCTGCCATTAATAAATGGAGAAGAGCTTCCCTAAATGGATCTTATGGAGTGGATAGGCTGGTCTGGAAGGAGAAGCTCCTAAAGAGCTGAGGCCATTGTTCTTGGCACAAACTTTCATATTTTGGGGGGCTTTATAGCAAATTAAAGGTAAAGGTACCCCTGCCCATCAGGGCCAGTCGTGACTGACTCTAGGGTTGCGCGCTCATCTCGCTCAAGAGGCCGGGAGCCGGCGCTGTCCGAAGACACTTCCAGGTCACGTGGCCAGCGTGATGAAGCTGCATCTGGCGAGCCAGCACCAGAGCAGCACACGGAAATGCCGTTTACCTTCCCGCTATAAAGCAGTACCTATTTATCTACTTTTCCATTAGAAAATAACTAGAGCCAAAATCCAATGCACATCTAATCCCATTGAAACCAACATGCTAAAGCAGACCGAACTCTGTGCAGATTGCCTGGATGGTGGCATAATATAATATTTAGAAAAATATAATTCAAATAAGAAGAAGAATTATTCACTGGATGGATGTGCATTAGCAATAGTTTCTCTCATGTCTTCCATGCAAGCAAATCTGTGAGTTTATAATAAATTCCATCAGAGCCGAACAAATAATTCATTCTGAATAATTCATCTGATGAGTTTATCCTTTTTTCCTTTGTAAAATATCTACAAGCAGATCTGTTTCCCCCAATTGTATTTATTGCTCCAAATTAGTCATCTTTTTCTGATTCCAGAAAACATATTACAATTTAATTGTAATTATTCTTTGCAAGATTTTTGTATTCATTTGGTATAAACATCCATTACAGTGCAAAGGATTTGAGTCAAACTTTGGCAAGCATATGAATTTGGGCTACCAAGTTCAGCAGCTATTTAAATCAATGTTGGGTGGGGAGAGAAATCAACCAACTATTTGGAAATTTTAATTTACTATTGTTGAGAACTTCCAGCCAAGACTGAGAATATCCCAGTCGTAAACACATCCCAGCTATGACTCAAAGAACTGCTCTTGGATCTTGATCCATAATCACCTGTACTTCTTTGATCTTGACCCAGCCTCACCCCTGCCAAGGGGAAATGCACAAATCTCCCCTGTGGTGAGATAAATCACCTGTCTAGCAATTCATCTCCTTGCAGGTCAAATGCATCAACTCCCAATTTACACAAGAGATGGAGGAGAGTTTTGTTCGATCCATATTTTTACGTGAACCAACCTAATTCACATCTTTAGGACAAATACATGGATTAGAATAAAAGGATCAAAAATCCTTTAGGTTTTGCACTTCTTCAGATTCGTAATGAGTTCTCGGCTCAAAGAACATACTAAAATGCATTAAAAATGTGGGCAGTTGGGTCAAAATGTGTTTGGAAATACATATATTGAGATAAAATTCATACTTAAATAATACACATAATTTTCATGTGGACTTTTTATTTTAAAAAATAGGTTAATACAGAAATGGCCTAAAATTAAATTAGAAATTGGCACACACCAGACCATTCATGCCTACATGGGTTCATAGAAACCCATAGAAACCATGAAATTTCATTGATTGATTGATGAAGCTGTTTGTATCCCACCTTGCAACCTAGGATCTCTGGGCAATTCACAATAAAATCACTTAAAAAAATGTATCATATTCCACCAATTTTTTCCCTAGAAAAAATACAATAAAAACAACATATCAGTATCAGTGGTACAAATATCCAAAGACCTGAACAAAAAGCCAGATTTGTACCTGGCATCTGAATACCAGTACTATTGGTACTAACAAAACAAAACAAAATTGGCAGGGATTAAGTGAAGATGGTTATTCATTTTCTTTTTAAAATATTTCAGTAGGCCATAATAGGGTTCTTATTTATTTATTTATTTATTTATTTATGCATGTATGTATTTATATTTCAAATAATTTTATGCCCCTTTTATATTGAAAACACCTATTTCTCTCAAAGTGGTTTACAACTTAAAATATCAAATAGGGCATTACAAAGTATCAAAATAGTAGATTGCAGATGAAAGTCAGATACAGTACAAAATACACATGCAAAGTAGCATAATTAAAAAGAAAACAAAATAGTCTCTTAAACGTAAAAAGCACAATCGATATAACTCATATGCAAAAATACAATAAAACTCCACAACATCGTTAACAGCTAATCAAATTAACTGAAATAGAAGCTGCACCCACACTTTCTCTTCCCCCTTATAACCATTCCCAAATACAGCCTTAGCAGTTCTCCACGTGCAAAGCATCCCCACCAAACATACAGGTAACACAGGTAACCCTCAGCCAACATGGTGTTCCAAATGGGGAATAGTTTTCCATTTTTGACATTTGTATACAGAAACTTACCTGTACATAGGAGCTTACCTATGTTCCTAACAGAGCATGGTTCCCCTTTTAAATTTTTGTAAACAGAAATTTACATGATCTTGCTCCTCCATTAACTCACGTCTCTCATTGGCACAGGAGAGTTAACAGCAGACAGTCTGCGGGTGTGCAAGGAACACTCAACACAACTGCCACTGTAAGTTTCCTCTCAAATGCTTTTATTGTTTCATGTTCTATGACCTGCCGCTTTACTGCAGTTTTTTTGGTTGTATTCGTTGCACATGGTTTGATTTGTATATGCGTCCTTCATAAAATAACAAAAATACACATTTTATGTAAATATATATGATGACAATCCTCTGGCAGCCTTGCAATTTTATTTATTTGGATATTTCTATACAGCCCTTCACCATATGGTCACAGGGAGGATGTGTCCAACATATTAAAACACACCAATACTTCCCCTGCCCCTAAATCCAGTTAAAACATCAGTACAAAGTAAGCACAGCATAAAATAAAATAATAGCTTAAGACAGCAACAGGTGCAATACAAACTGAGCTCCACATACTATTCCTCCCCACTTCCGGGCAGAATAGCTATATCTTCCCACTATTCCTAAAGGATTGTAATGCTGAAGTGAGATGCACCTATGTAGAGCAATTGTCCCAAAGTTTCAAAGCCACCACTGAAAGGTGCTAATACGGCTTTTACAGTCCTCTGTACAGTAGGACACATGGCCTCCTAAGCAGACAACTTCTCCTGAACAGGATGGGTTTTTTAAAAGGAAGCAGGACCCTTCAAATACAAAAATTGCAGAATCAGAGCCCATTTGGCTTCACATCATGGCTAATTCAGCCCTTCTCAGGACAATTCACTGAGCATACAAACAAAATTTAGACAAAGTTTGGCATAACGATACTGAATTAACCAAAGGCCATTACAAAGCCTTTTGTGGCTGACACGCTCTCAGCAAGCAGTTTTAGTCACGTGTCTTGGCCATTGTAGTGTGCTTTGGTTTTCCACTGTAAAATAAGGCCTAGTTCACAGGGAATTGTAAATAGGAATTATAATTAATGTTTGAGAAGTGCTTCGAAATCTTAGATGAAAAGTGCTAAACCTGAATAAAATATGAAGCAATTCTATGAGCTTTTTAAAATGCACAGCGTATTTCCCCCCAAGAGGACAATAAAAACTAGTTTGATTTAGGTCCTTTTGGAAATAGCTATTTACACAGAATAGTTGATCATCCTGGGCTAAGAATTGTGATATGGAAGATTAAAAGAAAAAAAGAACCGTCAGATCCTATGGGTCTGTTTCAGCTGCAGTGGCACAAACAGAGGGTGTTTTTCCCCACCCACAGTGCTGTGGCTGAAGCAGCAATCCAAGACATGGCAGGCAACCCAAGGGAAACCTATTTATTATTTTTTAAAAAAATAAAATGCTACTGCCAGAGGCAACCCCAGCTAACATAAGGCAAGATGAAGCAGCATTCAGAGCTGGCAGACTATGAGTATCATTTAGGGCAGCACCATCAAACATAGACACCAACTCTGGGCTTGTCTACACTTCCACTTGTCCCGTCTGTAGAAAGCATGGGTCTGAGTGGCTTTCTAGGCACACTTCCAAGTGGTTTTGCCTTTGCCCCACAGTTTTCCCCTGAAGAAACTTGCTCTTTAGCACTAAGTCGAAGTAAATGTCAATCCAGAAAAAAGACGGGTTTTCCAGGGGGGAAAGGCAGGGCAAGCAGAGGTGTGGATTAGCCATCTGACTCGGGAAGCACAATCTACTGTCATATTCTCATGCAAGCCACCCCACTGAAAATAATACAAGCAAAGCTGAGGAAAAAGTGCTTGCATGTTTTCCTTTCACTTCAGTTAGGCCTGTGTGGGACACCTTCCCAGAGGTTTATGGTCCTTTGGCGACAAAAAGGTCACTAATTTAGGCCTAGTTGACAAAATCGAGAGGTTTTACTTGTAGTAACCTGGCTACACCAATTGAACTCAACCCAGGGAGCCTTGAAGCTCCTTGGCTAGGGAGCACTCGCCAGTGGTGACTGGTGTTATTTTGCCGCAAAATTCCTACCCTGCAGTGCTAAGGCTTTAAATAGTCTTGCTCTACCATCAATTTGAACACTAATTCCTTGAACTTGTCAGAGTGCTTTCTATGGGATGTTTTCTTGTGGGAAATGTAGCCATCCCAGGAAAATATCACCCTTGAAAGGTGGCGAGATCCCATTGCCTAGAACAGTTCAATTGGCCTTGTGCATGGAAGAGCCAGTGCTGCCAGTCTCACAGGTACCACCTTGCTGCCTTGTTTACATTTGTCTCAGGGCAGCACAAACCTCAAGGGAGCAACAGCCGCTGTGTGCAAGGGGAAAGGCATGGTCTGAGGTCAAGCTTGAGGGCTGCCCTAGGGTAAAATTGATGACTGCCTGCAGCTGAGCTATGATTCTACTGCTACTGCGGTAAGCCATGCTGGCCTCATTAAAAACAATGGCTTGTATCCAACATTAGTCATACACAAAGAAGAACCACTGAAATTTAAAGATGTGACTAGCTTAGGTCCTGTAATGTGGGTGGGTCTACTGTGAGTAGAACTGTTGGGCACAATCCAATGGGTTTAATTAATCTCTACTATGTGTTGAGTTCAGCAGTGACCAGCGAAGTGGTTCACTAGCAAAATTGCCAGTTGCTACTGTGAAGGGTGGTGCTGTGGTCTAAACCACTGAGTCCCTTGGGCTTGCCGATCAGAAGGTTGGCGGTTCAAATCCTCATGACGGGGTGAGCTCCCGTTGCTCGCTCCCTGCTCCTGCCAACACAGCAGTTCGAAAGCACGTCAAAGTGCCAGTAGATAAATAGGTACCACTCTGGTGGGAAGGTAAACGGCGTTTCTGTGTGCTGCTCTGGTTCGCCAGAAATGGCTTAGTCATGCTGTCTGCGGATCAACGCTGGCTCCCTCGGCCAATAAAGTGAGATGAGTGCCGCAACCCCAGAGTCGTCCGTGACTGGACCTAACAGTCAAGGGTCCCTTTACCTTTATCTTTACTATGAAGCAACCAAGGACAGAAAGGAACACCAACTCACTCCTTCATACAAGTACAAGGGTGGTGACTGGATAGCTCCCCTGGCTCAGGCCTGTTAACAGGCTGTTAACATCCACAGGGGCAACTATCCAGTCAACAAGTAGGCAGCTGTATGCTGTGCCTCTTGCCTCTAGGGCTACCTCCCAATATGTAAAGAAATTACCCTCCCTCTTGATCACCACAGAGAACGCTCTGGTAGGCCACCTCAGCAGTAACCACCAGCTGGAATGTGACTATTGTCTTTTCTCGGTACAATTAAAATTCCTGACATGCTTCTGTAGGTGTGCTGCGAGTTAATTATATTCAAACCTAAATGCAACTGAGACAGAGTAGGGTTCTCTCACCACTGCCCCTGCCACACACACATCAATAAAAATTTAATGTTTGAGAGTTAATTCATAGGTAACATGGATTTCACTGAGGGCTCAGGTCTGTCTGATCCATTCACCCGTGGAATAAAAGCATTTAGAAGTAACAGGGATGATGCTGTTGTTAGCAGCCAATATGTTCATTGCTGTGCAGTTTTAACAAAATCACCTTACCCTGAATAAGACTGATGAGTAATTTGGGATGGCGCTGCACCTAAAGAGGCATTACATGGTTTTATATTTGCTTAGTCATTTTGTCCTTCATTTCTCATTTAAGGACTTGCTTTAGTCTCTTGTAAAACCAGGAAGGAAAATGTATGAAGAGAAGCTGACACATTCTACAATGCTTGTGTTTTTCTAAACTGCTAGAAAAGCAGCGCTCAAACCAGGTCATTCTGAATAGTCATTTAAAATATTACAACCTTGATCACCAACAGCAGAGTTGGGTAACCTGTGCCTTTTCAAATGATGGACTGCAATAGCCTTTTCCAGCCTATTGCCCTCAGACACTGCTGAACTCCAGCTCCCATTAGCCCAAGCTGGTAATGCAAAGGGTAAGTGATGATAGGATTGGAGTCCAATAATATCTGAAAGCCACCAGGTTGAGAAAGGCTGAACTGCAGCTCCTCTCCCAAGTAGATCATGTGGTGACAAGCAGCACATGCATACTCCTGCCAGGCAGCAGATCCACTACGCCTACAGAGATCCCTGGGTTCTCAGCACCCTTAACAAACTACATTTCCCAGGATTCACTGGGGGAAGCCATGACTCTTAAAGTGGTAAAAGGGTGCTTTATAAATGTATGGTGTAGATGTGACCCAAGAGTAAGATGAAGTACAACTCACACTTCCTCTCCTCATCACTTGTTCAGAACAGGCTGGCCCCATCATTAGGCAGAGTGAGATGGCCATCTCTAGCAGCTGTTTTGGGGTGTCATGAAAGGGCAGCAAATTATTAGTTATTTAATTCGCCATTTTCGTCTTTTACTCCCAGAGAAAGATTTTCTGTCCGAGGTGCCATCATAGCCAGGCACACTTAAATACCATGCACCTTGGCTTGAGGAAGGGGAACACCATGTGTGGCTCCACCTCAAACAGCAACATTTCTTAGGAGCAAGCAATGGTATTCTCAACGACACCCTCTTGTCACCTTCATTAAAATTAATAAGGCTCTAGGGGCTTATTTTAGAGATCACAATGGTCACACAGAGCACAGAATATTTAGCTGTAGCAAAAAGAAAAGTAAAAAGTAATAATTTATCAGGAGACAGACAACTGACTGGTTTTCAAGAGAAGGCTTTGCATATTCAGGTCTGAGATATTTATTCATGAATTCTAGATGAATTGTTGTGCTACCGAAAAGCACTTTCTGTCATTTAACAGAGCCTCCGGAATCTTATCACTCATTCTTTCAAAGTCAGAAATCCTGGTGTTTGTTTATTTTAGTGGGGGTTTTCTTTTTCTTTTTTCAAACTTATTTATGTAATAAGTTCGCCAGACATAAAATGAAAAGAGCACTTAACGCGAAAGGTCAGAAATTACACCGGGAGACAGAATTCAGTACATAACAACATAACGGTACCTAAGCAATCACCGTGGCCAACTTGTTTATAATTAGACTTTGCATTTAAGAAAACAAAAATGGTTTTTTTAATTTAGTAGTCTTTCCATGTGATGTTTAGTACCTCATAATGCCATTTTTCATGTTGTTTATAAAATCAAATCACTATTATTGAGAGGGTTGGGGGGGTTTCAGTAAGCAAACTTATTTTTTATTCATTGCAAGCAGCCCTTGTTGTGAGTACAAAGACGCTCAGCTTTCACTTCTTCACAGTCTTAAGGATGATCTCCGATGGCTCTTTAATTAGTGTGCTCTTTTGATGCACAGGTTTGAGAAATTGTAATGGCACTAATGTGTTTTTGTCATAGTCTAGAACAGAGCTAGCCCAAGGCATTTTGCTGTCTGAGGCAGGCATAGGCAAATTCCGCCCTCCAGATGTTTTGGGACTACAACTCCCATCATCCCTGACCACTGGTCCTGTTAGCTAGGGATGATGGAAGTTGTAGGCCAAAAACATCTGGAGGGCCAAGTTTGCCTATTCCTGGTCTGAGGTGAAGGACAATGCAACAAACCCACATGCACACATACTATGAGCAGAAGTTGAACAGGCTAACAGGCAAACTTATTTCAAATGTGGCTGTGAACACACTATACTTTCAAAGCACATTTCACCCCTCAAAGATCTCTGGTCACTGACGTTTGTTAAGTGCTGCAGAGAATTGTAACTCTGTGAGTGTGGCTCTCTATAGAGCAGGTTGCATGGCACATCAAGTTATCCAACACCTCACTTCTGCTGTTCCCCGTCTCCCAGTATCTGCTGCTGAAAAGTAGGGTCATCACACATACACGGGATTTTCATGGTGGTTTATCATAGCAGACATTCTCACAACAGATGCCCAAGCTTCACAAATCATAGTATGATGACCACATGGGTAAAAAAATTGTGTAGAACTGCCAGCTAGATTTTTGGCATCTTGGTATACTATAAACAGAGCTGTCCCAGCTAGTAGGCAGAGCGAGGATGCAACCCAAAATTGACACCAATGGCAGCGCCGAATGCAGCAGAGCAGGTAGGGGCAGGAGCAGGTAGGTGGGGGCAACAGGAATGGCAGCAGAAGGACCAAGCAACACTCCCCGTTTTGCCTCAAGCTGTGAACTGTAATGTGCCGCCCCTGACTATACAATATTGATTCTGCATACTGATGAAGTACTTAAGGTTAAGTCTCACTTCTTGTTCACGCTGCCTGCTATGCCCTGATTTCGGAATTCTGCAGATCAATGAAACTGTGATGTGCCAAGTTACAGCAGATAAGCTAGATGTTTAACATCACACCAAAGTTAGTCCCCCCTTCTTCCAATTTCCTTCTGTCGCTGCAGTTGTTTACATTAGAAATATTTTGCTGAAATTGGATTTTTATGAGAAATCTTACTGTGCTACTAATCTTTCATTGCTATCAGATTGGTTTCATGGACATTTCATGGGCATCCAGTGAGTCACACTCTTTACTAGACAGCCGGCCATCTCCATATCATTGCTGGGTTTGATTTAAGGTATAGTTCCATGCAGAACATATTGCAGAAGTCAAATGGTAAGGTGATAAAAAGTATGAATGATGACAGCAATCCTGCATCCTAAAGTACGATCTGCAGTCTCTGTGCCAGGAAAAGAAACACCTTGTCGGACACAAATGAAATGCGCTTCCTCGTATCTCAAGTGACTAAGGAGGCCCAGAAGCCCAGCTTCCTGAGACTGTCCAGAAGTCGCAAACCTATGATATTTTCTTCCATAAACCCTATAATTTCAAAAATAATATTGTCAAGGCTGCCTCAAGTCTTAGCTCACAAAAGACCAACGCCTCTGTCTTCTTATATACAAAAGTGTTTATTGCAGTTCATGGTTTGCTTGACATCCTAGGCGCGCAGCCTTACGTCTTTTACGCTAGACCGCCGAAGTCCCCTTCTGAGTCAGTTCCTCCCCTGCACCAATTTAAGAGACTTGCGCTGCTCCACCTCTTTCTCTCCTTCCTTTTCCGCAGGGTCCTTCTGCCCACTGGGGTTTCGCCCCTCCTGGATTCCTCTGATGCGGAATCCCCAGACTGCTCTCCCCCCCTCCTGCGGGCTTTGGGACCTGGCCCCTCCTCCGGGCTCCCTGCACTTCCGCGCGCCTCTACATTTGAACTAGGCGCGCGCGCCAAACCTCTAACTTTCCTTTTGACAGTTACACTACTCCCTTCACTGCTCCCCTCCCCTTCCGGGAGGGCGGCTTGCTCTGACCCCCCTCCTTTCTCTGCTGCTGGAGCTGCTTCCTCTGACACACTGGAAACTCCACCCCCTTCACTGCACTTTGGTGGGGAGGCTGGTCCTGACGCCCAGCTGCCACTTTGGGATCTTCCGCTAGCACCCTGCTCCTGACACTTCCCCCCTGGGGCTCCCCTGGCCTTGACCACCGGCGCCCCCTTCTGGGAATCCTCTGATTCGCTGGAAAGACTCATGGAATCTCTTGAGTCATTGTCATCCTCTTCCTCGCTGGCTTGGAATTCCTCCCCCTCGCTCTCCATCTCCTGCCTACCCTGTGCCTCTCTCCCTGAACCCCTGACAAATATGAACTCGCAACTGAAAAAGTTACCACACCTACACTAAAGAGTGAAACTTCCTTTCTTTTTTCTCTTCTTTTGTGCCAATGACATAATATTGTAATTAGGCCCTGCTCCAATTCCATACCCAGTTGAACTTTTGTAAGATTATGAACACAAAACAAGTCTAGATTTCAAAGCCACTTTTTAGCCACAAACATATTGGCACAGTTTGCCACACAAAATGCTATGCCAAACCATGACTTAGAAGAAATGAGTAGGCTCCTGAAGAGGAGGCTGTGGGTGTTTTGCTCCGTCCCTATCATTCTGCTGCTATGGCGAGCTAATCCATCCACATGGTGTGAGGATAAATAAGGTAAACAATGGAATGGTGCTGTCCAACTGGAAAAAGAAAGGAGTGAGAAACCTGAGTGGCTTGGGTTCAATTCCTGCTCACAAGACAAAAAGCTCAGTTGGGAACTCTGTCCCAGCTATGTCTCTGTCCTAACAACTGACACACAGTTCCTTTGTGGTTTTCTTACACCATTCTAGTTCAACATTGGGCAAACAAGGCAGTCATTTCATAACAGGAACTAGTCAGAACCCTTGTTCAGTCTGACAATCAACAGTTGTATCAATTATCCCTGTCATTTATTCATCTCCAGCTATGAATGATTAAAGACAGAACAATATTCCAGAGCCAAAATAATGCATGACTGAAACTGTGAATATAAATAAGTAAAACCTATTCATCTCTTCATGAACACAAATCTCTCAGAGAGGACTACAAATTAAAAGGATGTCCTTGAATGTCAAAATGTGTGTGCTTATTTCAGAGTTAAATAAAAGAACAAGAGCGCATATAATTAACTTGGTTCTTGGGGCATCATTTCACTTTTTAACTTACACTGCTGTAATCCCAGTAGAGCTGGTGGGGCTCTCCCATCTGCTTCAGTGGTCAGTGAGTGCCATACTAAGTCACTATTCAAACATTTAATTAAATTCATTTTACAGGCATAGGCAAACTCGGCCCTCTAAATGTTTTTGGCCTACAACTCCCATGATCCCTAGCTAACAGGACCAATGGTCAGGGATCATGGGAGTTGTAGGCCAAAAACATCTGGAGGGCCAAGTTTGCCTATGCCTGATTTAGCATTTCCTATTTTGAGGGTATCTGAGGTGGAATAAAAACAAGACACTTCCAAGTACCATCTGCACCTACTTTACTCTTGCACCAATCATAATAACAGATGAAGCTGCCTTATAGCAACTCAGACCATTAGTTCATCTGGCTCAGTACTGTTAACACTGACTGACAGCAGCTCTCCAGTTCTGAGAGATGAGCCTTTCCTAGCCTTCATGGCTGTGTGGGGGTTTGAACCCTCGTCTCCCAGGTCCTAATTCAACACACTAACCACTACACCACACTGACTCTCTCTAAACATTTCTGCAAGCAATTTCTGTAGTATTATGCAACTTTTGAAGGATCATTGTGTTTCGGTTCACGTATTGGTTCAAGGAGTGTGAATTAGTTAGTTCCGCATTAAAATGCAAGCAAAATTGAATTTCTCCCCATCCCTAGATTGAACCTGAGACTTTCTGCATGCAAAGCACACACTCAACCAGTTCTTCCCCTAGGATGGCACAGGGAAATTGGGAAGAGGCAGCCAAGGAGCTAGACACAGTTAAAACCTTTTCCCAAGCCAGAGTTATTGCAGCAGACAATTGCGCCTAGCCTTCAATTCACACCATCTCAGTTCCTGAACAGGGAGTTGTAATAAAAGGCATTTTCCTCTTTTCTGGGCAAGAAAAGTCACAGCTATTGCATTTATTGTGCTTTCACAAGGGGCAAATGAAAGCTTTCCATCACAGTGATTCAATTTCAGAACAAACACTTTCTATTCTTTGACAGTATTTCTTAACCCTTTCTTGGGTTTTCAGATCTAAGGAGAGATCAATAAAGGTAAGCAACAAGTCATCTGTCACATATAAATACAGAGACAGAACACAAACAAAACAAGAGCTCTGTTGTACTCAAGTCCTTCCTGAAGGCTTCCCATAGAGAGCAGGGTGTTGGGCTCATATACCTGTAAGCTATAGCAGATCACAGAAATGTTTACATGTGTGTAAGCATAAAAGCTGTAGTACACAGTAAAATCACAGTATGAAATGGGCATCACTTTTAATGTATTTTTAATCTTTTGTTGGAAGCCACCCAGAGTGGCTAGGGAAACCCAGCCAGATGGGCGGGGTATAAATAATAAATTCATTATTATTATTATTATTATTATTATTATTATTATTATTCCCCTATGCAAGTATTAGTGGCACAACATGGAAGTATCCCCATAGGTCTCAATATTTCTCCACCACCAATATGGCAGGTGCATGTGAAAGGAATGTACTAGGAGACTGGCTAGGTCTATACACAGCCCCCTCTACTTTATTAAGACCTCCACCTTAGTGGTGTTCAAGCCATTCAAGAACCTGGTGAAAGACATGCAAAGCCCTCTCATTCCCCATAATGGCATGGTGTGCAGCTTGCTTGCTGTAGTACAGAGGTACCTCGGGTTACAGACGCTTCAGGTTACAGACTCCGCTAACCCAGAAATAGTACCTCAGGTTCAGAACTTTGCTTCAGGATGAGAACAGAAATCGCGCAGCAGCAGCGGGAGGCCCCGATAGCTAAAATGGTACCTCAGGTTAAGAACAGTTTCAGCTTAAGAACAGACCTCTGGAACGAATTAAGTTCTTAACCCGAGGTACCACTGTAGAGGGAAAGATGAGAACTGTTGAGTCCGGTAGGGATGCCTTTGCTTACAAGCCCTGTACCTTTATGCGGGTAAAGATTAAGCTCAAAGCAGTAGCGGACAGCATGTTTGAGCACCACCACTCCCCTGACCTCTAGTCAACTGCATCACTGCTACTTACCAGGAGCTAGAGAAGGATAGTGTGAGCAGCAGCAAGGTCAGCATGGTGCAAACACACTGGAGAAGCCAATCTGGTGCAGTTGCACCATGCCAACCACACTGCTACCTCCCCTCTCTTTACCTCTCAGTAAGCCGCAGAGAGATGACTGATCCGAGGGTCAAGTGAATGGCAACATCCTACCATGTCGTCTGCTGCTAGTTCAATGTGTTTCTTTTTAACTTCCTCTCAAATACACACATAGGTATGTGTCCTTCAGACTCATTGTTTAACAGCTAAAGTCTAGCTTGGTGTACTGTAACTGGTATGAGGCCCAATCATAGGCTCCAGATCCTAGGGGCCGAGGCACTGTCTCCCTCCCCCCATGTTTTTTCAGGGGGGGTGGGCCTTCTCAATGTTCACAGGGCATTCAGCTCCAGTCCCTGGCTCCTCCCAATATCATGCGTGTCTGACGTCAGGGCATCATGTCAGGCCCTCTCAATCATCTTGAGAAGATGGCACCTCTGGCCCCAATCTGCTAAGGTTGCTGGGCTTTCACCTAGAAATGCTGTTTTCCTATTAATGCAGCCAAATCACATAAATGCTAAATTAGGATAAATAAAGCATTGCATTTAAAAAAAAATGTAATATAAAAGCAAATGGACTTCTATAAAGACGAGACAGGAAGAATTAACCTTATAGAACTCGGTAATTTGCTATTTGAATACATTGTTTCAGTCCAAAGATGAAATACACTCACATTTGGGGGTGGAAAGGAGAGCGCTGTTTTTATTCAGAACCAAAGAAAGCAGTTTTATACTGAGTCGGGCCATTGGTCAACTGAGTTTCAATCCTGTTCCAGGTCAGCAGTATGTGCAGAGGGTGGAGAACAGTAGCCCAAGAGCATCATCCTGGAGCAATTTGGTTCCAAAATTGTGAGTAACGTGCACTGAATAGCTGGATCGGGCTACTGAATTGCAGGGCACAGGATCCACAGGTGCAGGGACAGATCTGATGTAAAGAGATGTTGTGCTAACAGACTACAAGTACAGCCTTAAATTCTCAAATCACAGTTCACAAGCTGATGGGAGAAGGGAGCTTTAAAAAGGAAATGCTCTCTCTTAGAGCCTTGTGCTGTCAAGCCACTGAGTGGCCTTGAGCTGTCTCCTTCACTGGTCTTTGGTGAGGTAAGAAGAAGTTCAGAATGACCACTAGAAGGCTCTGAAATTATGGGATCAAATTATGAGATCCAGCTACATGTTCTCTTATCTCAAGAAAATCCATACATTGTTTTCTCTCAGACTAAGTTTCAGGGAGATTAATAAATGGTGGGGCCTCAAGGCTTCCTCTACCTTGAGATCACTGTAAGCTGGATCTCACCCCAGATCAAAAACCAAATACATCTACAATAAAATACCTGCATTTCCAAGGCTGATACGAAATTACATAAAATCTCCATAGAGACAGATGTAATCCATTGCATTCAAAATGGTGCTGTCAAGGCTGCCTCAGGTCTCAGCTCACAAAAGACCAACGCCAATCTCTTCTTATATACAAAAGTGTTTATTGCAGTTCATTGTTTGCTTCATATCCGAGGCGCGCAGCCCCACGTCTGTACGCTTAGACCGTTGAAGTCCCCTCTGAGTCAGTCCCTCCCCTGCACCAGTTTAAGAGCCTTGCGCTGCTCCACCTCTTTCTCTCTTTCCTTTTCCTCAGGGTCTTCCTGCCCGCTGGGGTTTCGCCCCTCCTGGATTCCCCTGACGCGCTATCCCCCGACTGCTCTTCCCCCCTCCTGCGGGCTTTAGGACCTGGCTCTTCCTCCGGGCTCCCTGTACTTCCGCGCGCCTCTACATTTGAACTTGGTGCGCGCGCCCAACCTCTAACTTTCCTTTTGACAGTTACACTACTCCCTTCACTACTCCCCTCCCCTTCCGGGAGGGTGGCTTGCTCCGACCTCCCTCCCTTCTCTGCGGCCGGCGCTGCGTCACCAGATACACAGGAACCACCACCCCCATAGCTGCACGCTGGCGGGGAGGCTGGTCCAGACGCCCAGCTGCCACTTTGGGATCCCCGCTGGCCCCCTGTTCCTGACACGTCCCCCTGGGGCTCCCTGGCCTTGACCACTGGCGCCCCTTCTGGGAATCCTCTGATTCGCTGGAAAGACTCATGGAATCTCTTGAGTCATTGTCATCCTCTTCCTCGCTGTCCTGGGATTCATCCCCATCGCTCTCCATCTCCTCCCTACCCTGTGCCTCTGTCCCTGAACCCCTGACAGGTGCTTTCTGTAGTTCACCATCACAGAACTTGTGGGAACAAAGGTATATAACTTCTTATTGAGGAAAATGCTATAAATGACATAAAAACAGAATCTGTGATATTTATAACTTCACATTTTCAAAAAGTTTATTATGATGACATTTATATCCAACCATTCCTTCAAGAAGTTCAAGGTGGCTTAGATGGTTCTCCCTATCTACATTTTCTCACAACAGCCCTGAGAGGTAAGTTAGGCTGAGAGACCGTGAGTGGCCCAAAGTCATCCAGTGAACTTAATAGCTCAGTTAGCATTTGAAGTCTGGTCTTCCTAGGTACTAGTCCAAGAAGACAATTGACTGAATAATCTACCTTTTAAATAAATAATAATATAAGCTAGCTAGTAACAGAAAAAAGCGTTATCAATTTTAAATTAACTGCAGCCCATGGTATTTTGTTAAATATATTGGTAGATGATGGAGTAGTTTAATACCACATACATGTGACATTAATATGAATGCCAATGTAATGTCCTCCAATTTCTGCTATTCTAATGGTTTTATTTATTAATTTTTAAAAATACTCCTGTCCTGCTTTTTTCATTAAGTGAACTCAAGAAGGCTTGAGTTACAAAACATGACCTTACAGTAACTTAAAACTCAGCAGCTTAAAACAGCATAAAACAAACTGTACAAGGAACAGGATTATTATTATTTTAAAAAATATATATTACCACGTTAATTAAATTGCACCTAGAAAAACAGCGCAAGCTTGTGTTAAGCCTACAGTGTTGGCCCTAGTAGCCTTAGTTTCTAAATTCTTATTTCATAAGCGTTTCCTTCCTGACAGACTTCAGGAATACATAACATGGCTTAACCCTGTCAGCTCTTGAAAAAGAAAAAGAAAACCATACAGTATTTCTATAATCATATTTTCTACACATGCCAACACAGAGAGCACAGTTGCCCTAAATGTCTCACATGTGTAGAAACCACTTATAATAGGTTGTAAAGTAATGCAGCAAGTATTTCAGAACCTCTGCCCTTTCCCAAAAGTATCGGAAAACATGTTAGATAATGTTAGGCTGAGTAGACAACACATTGCCTCCCTCCATCCAACTCTCTCTCACTCTTGCATGCTCTGTTTGCTTCTCATAGTGGTGCAGTCGCTTTCCAAATAAAGGAGCTGTTTCCATGACACTAAACCCTTAATTTGTAGCAGCATATAAACAGGCTGGTAGAAGAACAATGTGCCTCTGCATTGTTAATCCACCTCCTCTTCCTTACATTGAGCTTTGGGCAGACAGAGAAAACCTTCACAAAAATCAAATGTGAAAAATTGTTCCTCGTAACTAGAAAGCGTCACCATCTTGACTTTTGTGTCCTTATTACATCTCTGGACATGTTTAATATGTCTTAGCTACAGGAAACAGGATCATTGCAAATAATTAAACCAGCTTCTGTATATGCTTTTAAAACAACATTTTTTCAGTCAAATTAGTCCCTCTGGTTTAAGCGATTTGTTCTTTATTAGACATAAGCTCGTTTCATTCTCTACTCTGCTCTTTCTTTGTAATCTCTTCTGAAGGTGCCAGTTTTTTTAATTTCTAGCACACAGAGAGAGAATACAAAACAATAAGTCCTAAGACATAATTGTTTAGGTTTCCCTCCCTTCCCTGTCCTGCCCTGCCCTACCAAAAAAGTAATTAAAAGTCCGTCTCTGGCTGGCAGCTGCAGTTATGGTTTCATCTGAAAGGTCTGGTGGCTATCAAGCAAATGGCCTTACTAATTCTTATGTGGATCACACATAAACCCATCCTGTCAAAGCGATCGTGTTATTTTTAAATCCCATTTTCCTTTAAGTAAAGCTAATCGCAATATAATTATTTTTAGCAAAAGATATGCTCCATATTTTCTTTTAAGATAGTGCTATAAATTAAGATTAAGAAGCGACGAAAGAGAAAGCCGAGGATAGGGACTGGATCGCCTGCACACGCCGGCTGCTTGCTCTCAAATAGCTACAGAGACAAATGAATACGGCTCTCAGAGGCATCACGCAGCAGCAGTCAAATATTATTCATGTCCTTAGCTTCATTAGCAAGCCCAAGACGCCTCCACTACAGACGCCCACACATCCACCCAGTAAACTGCTAGAGAGGAGTGGGGAGGGGGAGAATTATTTCCAGACTACATTGCCCTAAATTGTTTGGCGCAACAGAGATGCTTGAACACAGGCTGTACAAGCTCTGGAGCCTTCCTGTTCACGTCCCTGAAAATAACATTAGATATATATAGTCAATCTATTCTGAGCATCGCAGATTATGATTCACAGAGGGATTAAATTTCATACCATGTACAGGGCATTTAGAAAATGAAAGTGGCCTTTTTTCCCTCCTCAGTGTTACTGTGTGTTAGCTGCTTAACAGGTAACTAATTTATGAGAGGGTATGAATTCTTGAAGGCACAGAGGGGTGACATAACTGTTGGAAACCACCCTGTGTGAACGTAAAGGGCAAGCTTACAGAGAGTTTATCTGGGTCTTGAGGGCAGTTATTCAGCATTTACGTGTATAAGCCAAATAGAATTGGTACATAGCCTGAAAAAAATGTGTTGGTCCACACAGAAGGTACATGATTTTTTAAAAGTGTGTGTGCACAGGTATAAAAGCGCACACACACTGATGATTTGTGCATTATGGCAACTGGGTCGCAGTACTCCCCCACCCCCAAAAAATCTCAAATCTCAATTTTTTTATTTGTTTTGAAGAAAGTTCTGCAAGTAAAGTTGTAATTAAACTTATGGGCCTTGACAATGTTTCGTTTCCAAAAATGGGTCAGTCCACATGTATCCAGTCACATAAAACACTGCAATATTAATATGTGAAATAGCAGCATGTTCTGAGAACCAGGCAGAAAGCCCTGTAGATTCTTAGGGCAACTTCAGACAACCATTTACCAGAGACTGACTGACATAGTACCGAGCAGGCAGCTACATGGGAAGCCAGCATCCACTCACACGTGTAGGAGAATTGCAGCTGCTTATTTAGATTTAGATTTCTGATCACATGTAGAAACTGTAGGCAGTTGGCACAAATGACTGGCTTTTCCATGTGTTTGTTACTTCATCACCAATACATTACCATCTGATAGTGACTACATTAAAAGCCTATTTATCCCAATGCTCATTTTTAATTTTCCATATCCTAAGGCTGATGACATAAAATTGTGATGCCAAAAAACAAACAAAAAACCCCTACCTCAGTAGCAATTTACTGACCCCACAACTAACTGGCTGGAGATGTTTTACATGTAATGGGATACTCTCCCGTTGGAGGTGGGGGGAAGATGGCTCATGACCCCTGAACAACTTAGGCCCAGATACTGAGATCATCTGCAGGAGTGTCATTGGTTATATTCCAAGTTGGACCAGCTTGGAGTGACTGTTACCTATGATGGAAAAAAACTTTAAAGCTTGAAAGGCAGTTCTCTGACCATCTCATAAAAGTATTTGAGTGTATATACTGTTTAAAAAAGGTCCCCACCGGTGAAATTGCTCCAGACTGTTCTATCCCTCCCTCCCTCATAGCTGAGCACTTTTCAGGCAGGCAAGAGGCCCAGTGCGCACTGCATTTGAAGAGATAGTTGATGTGAGAGAGCTTCCATGGGGCACATTAGCTGTTTCCTGGAATGTGACTAATCCAGCAGGTTGCCATGGCAATCTTGGGGCAATCACAGTTTCCCTTTCTGTCTGGGGTATCAAAATGAATCTCAAAGCCAGTGTGGTGCAGCTGTTACCATGTTAGACTGAGACCGGGGAGACCCAAATTCAAATCTCCATTCAGCCATGAAGCTCAATGGGTGACCTTGGGCCAGTCACTGTTTCTCAGCCTAACCTGCCTCACAAGCTTGTTGTCCCAATGCAAGGAAGGTAGGAAAACCATTTATGCCCCCTTGAGCTCCTTGGAGGAAATACAAAATATAAATGGAACAACTAAATAATGAAAAAGAGAAGCTATAGGCAGGGATGCTGTTACTAGGGTAAATGAAATGCATTCTAGGCACAAGAATCTGTGTTTTATTTAGTTAAAGAATTCTGAGCAGTACAGTGGTACCTCAGTTTAAGTACTTAATTCGCTCCGGAGGTCCGTTCTTAACCTGAAACTGTTCTTAACCTGAGGTACCACTTTAGCTAATGGGGCCTCCTGCTGCTGCCGCGCTGCTGGAGCATGATTTCTGTTCTCATCCTGAAGCAAAGTACTTAACCCGAGATAATATTTCTGGGTTAGCGGAGTCTGTAACCTGAAGCGTATGTAACCTGAGGTACCACTGTACAAAAAAGCCCTCAGCCTGAGATACTGAAGAGCATACCAATCACAGTAGAGTAGACCCTGCAGGGTTGTTTATAGAAGGGCCTGCATAGGCCCAAGTCCTATAGCATGACCTATATCTACCAGGAGCAGCATAAATCGCTAGGGATGGAGGAAAAATTCTATTCCATTCTCATTTACAGGTGAACTTCTCACTTCCTAAAACGACAAGAACTGGAATGCAGCCATCCTTTGAAATTCACACTTCTCTGAATTTTGCAGTGCAGTCCCCAAGTCAGGAATTGGTACAAAAATGCATATACTAGAGTAGTGTAGGCATGCATGGCAAACACCACATAGAAAAAAATTGCATTGTATTTAGGGGCAATGCTCTGAAAAAAAATGTAAATATTTGGCAAAACTGCAAACAAAAATGCTGATGAATTTGCATTAAAACTTTTTATAACAAAAAAAAATCACAGACTGATATATGGAAATGTGGAGAACTGAACTTAAGGTTGGAAATGTGAGAAACTGAGAGAAACCAAAATTGACCTATTTGCCTATCCCTATAAATAAGAGTGAGGGGCACATCTCTTAAGAAGGGTAGGAAGTGGGGGTGTTGGATATCCAGCGAACAGGTTGCAGAAAGAAAACAGTAGTAGGGTCATTAAATGTCTTCCTCTTGATCACCTTACTACTTACCACACCTGCCTCTCAATGACAACAGCCCATGTATGTGTCAATGTTGAGTGATAACTGAGAGGATGGTGTCAAAGAAAGTGAGTTAACTTAGTCAGTGTCCTCATCTTGGCTTCCTTTCTTGCTCATGCATGGAACCCCTGAGTCCCATTTTCTGCAAACAAAGTGCAGTGTAACATGCCAAGTCAGCTACACTGGAACAAGTGTCTTTCTCCATTCTCGACCTACAGTTCAAACAGCGGTTGCTCAGTTTTTCAATGACAACACACATGTATTGACTTTTGTTTATAGAGACTGTGGTCTTTTGCCCAAGGTTGTGGATTACTTCTCTGGAAAGCAGCTGTGACAAAGAAAGCCAGACACAGTATTAAAAGGAGTGGGAATTGGACTGTGGCGGATGCTAGATTAAGAATAATCACTGTCAATTATCCTCAAAATGAGATAATCAATTTCCTGCACACAAGGGAGAAACAAGTGAAAAGAGATCAAAATGGGAAGAGTTCCCTCCTGTGTGAAAAATGCTTCGGCAGCAAAGTTTGCAGTGGCAAGAAGACGGGCACCATGAGGGCCTCATGCCAAAGAACAGCTTCTGATTTTAGTGGCTGAAGCCACATACTCTGTATTTGCACATTGAATCAATGCCTGACAGTGTTAGAAACTGAGATATGAAAGCTAGGAGCTAAAAGGCACCTTAAACCCAGGTTATGGGTGCAACATCGGAATGTCTAGGTGCACTTTTTTATAACAAGAATACAAAGCTGAAAATGAATGAACTGCTGCCAAAATATTATGTTCATTTTTCACTTGGTCTAGTCCTTTCCTGCCCACCCCCCTAATATTCTTAAGAGGGTCCCTTCTCCAGTCTTCAGAGAGTAGCTGGAAGTGGGGAGGCATAAAAGGGTCCTCTTTTCCTTCCACTCTGCAGTTTTAATCTGAAATCTTCGGTGCAGTACTGCACTCAGAGCTCAGAAACTGCTCACGCTAATAAATTCCCTGTCGCAAAATGGGCCTAGAACAATGGGAGTCTCAAACACTGGTGCCTGAAATGCAGACTTCACTTTCCCATGGGTTTCAATTCATTCAAACTTCCTGTATTGGGCATATTATTATAATTCAAAGCCACTCATTAAAATAATGATGATGAATGATATCCAACTAATTCATACAGTACACGTAAGTCAAACACTGCATATCACCTCATAATAACAACGATGATGATGATAGCTTTTCTCTTAGTGACATACTTTTAACTTCAAAGAAATGTTTTGTGATATTTATTAATAGCCATTATCATCATGATTAATAAATATATTAGCAACCTTTCCATAAAACACCACACTCAAAGCAACTTACAGAGATACAAAAAAAGAGCAATATTCTTTAAAACCAAGAGTGTATATGTGTGAATAAAACTCAGCAAGACATGCTGGAATGTTAATCAAAAAGCCACACTTCCATCACACAGGTAGGTAAAAGGTAAAAGACCCCTGAATGGTTAAGTCCAGTCAAAGGCAACTATGAGGTTGCGGCACTCATCTCACTTTCAGGCTGAGGGAGGTGGTGTTTGTCCACAGACAGCTTTCGGGGTCATGTGGCCAGCATGACTAAACCGCTTCTGGTGCAACGGGACACCATGACAGAAACCAGAGCGCACAGAAACACCGTTTACCTTCCCACTTCAGCAGTACCTATTTATCTACTTGCACTGGTGTGCTTTGAACTGCTAGGTTGGCAGGAGCTGGGACAGAGCAAGCCACGAGGCTCAGTGGTTTAGAAGAAGAAGAAGAAGAGTTTGGATTTGATATCCATAGCACCGCACGCATTGCTTCACACAACAGGTATTGCAGTGTGAAAGGAACATTAGAACATGAGACAGAAGTGCTAGCATTATAATCTGGAAAACTAATGTCATATTCCCCGTATCTTAATGTACCCCAAGTCTCTTCACAGCCTGAGATCTGTCTGCCTCAGAAATCTGTTTTGTCTGGATGATTTATTGCATGATTGTTCCAGGTTTTTTGGAAACAGATGTAACATCTCAAGTGTACAAAATGCTTTACAATCTGAGATCCACCATTTAAAGCAGATGGTTTTCAGTAAGTTGAAGAAATCCAGTGATGTTGTCCTAAGCTTCCTAAGAAAACTCCAAGATGAGCAGGAATTTGCCCCCAGAAGTCCAAGATCCAAAGCCCAAACTTCTAGTGACAAGGCTTCACTGGCTTTTACATATGACACAAAAAGTTATATGTAATACAAATTATTTCAATACAGTTATTTTGCATAGCACTGTTCAGAGATGCTGAGAACTTCTATTTCGGTTTAACTAACCTCATGGGAATAAAATTGAATAACCCTCTACGTACAGGAGCTGATTAAGGAAAAAGCTGGGCATAGATATTACATATGTAAAGAAATAAATATCAGATGTGGCCTTTGACTGTTCAGTCTAAAAATAAAGCCTTCCTTATCAATCTTTTTTTCTTTAATTTTGGAAACAAAAATCTGTGACCCTTTCTACTTTTCCTTCTATGGAGGGGGGAGCAGGAATAAGATAAATGTCAACTGAATTTGTAAAGAGTGATGGTATTTCATTTATATCATTCATCCTGGTGGACCTTTTCTGTTGCTACAGACTGATGGCTCCATTAACTCCAAAAAATTCCCCAGGAACAGTTTCCTCCACAGCAGTAACACATCTGGTAGAGAGAAGGCAATGGGAAATTGTTTTTTCTCCCCAAGCTCTGTGTCACTGGCACCTGTCTTTCCCTTACAATATTGTTTCTGTAGTGCCCTCCCTACCATGACAAGTCACTAACAACTGTGGCTGGTAGGAGGGAAGGAAGATGAACAAAGAACCAATGACTGAAAAACAATGGAGGTTTTTAGTTTAGGAAAAAGACAAGTAAGGAGAAGACATGATAGAGAAGTATAAAATCATGCTGTAATTTTATAGATATATTTAAAATTAATGTTTTAAGCTATAAAATGTTAAATAATTTAAAATAAGAACTCAATAGGTACACTTTCGGATATTTCACGAAAATGTTTTCTTCTCAGTCAGCTGTACTTGAAAGTTAACAGAAGAGAATAACTATACCCTTTGCTGCTGGGTCTGCAGTAAAGTATCAGTTGTTTGCTTTCTGCATTCCAATATACTGTTAACCATTTCTGGATTCAGGAGTACCAGTATCAGAATTACCAGTACCAGAATATATGGTTATTAACATTGAAGAGACAATGGAGTGTGCCTCCGAGGGTCAAATTAAACTGCTGCATCAGCAGCACCAAAGTGACCCCTCCAGGGCGCAAGCTTGGGCAGTGTGTATGGAGGTTCTGAGATACCCAAGCGGCAAGATGTCCCCTCTCGGCTTTGCTAATGTGGTCCAAAGGAAAGCAGAGCAATACATTTGGCACAAGCTTGGCTGCAGGAGTTGCCAGAAGTAGGTATACAATGTGCCATCTTACAAACTTCAGTCCAGATTTGTGTAAGATTTATTCCTTAGCTATTTCTTCCCTTGAAGATATCCCACAAGGCAGCAGAGGTTTAGAATCAGTTTTCCTTCTCCTAGATGGGTTACCTCCCCTGGTTAACCCCATGTGCCCCTCACTTCCCTCTACAACACATGCAGAAACCACCTTCTTGACCATTGGACCCACCATTGATCCCGTCAGCTCAGTCTGCCAGAGCCTGTCTTCACATGCAAGGGAAACCCGTAACTCACTGAGGGTTGGAAACTTTTTGGATAGCCTCACTAGGTTTAGCCAGCCAATTCAAGTTGTTCCCAGGGTGTGGCTGCTGTTGCATACAGACAACTTCTAGGAGCCACGGGTGAGAGCTGAGTGCAAGGTTGGGACCGAAGTTGGACAGACTACCCCAGAAGGAGCACAACGTGCCCCCCACCAGATGTACTACCCCTCCACATACACCCTATTACACTGAATATATCTTTATAATTATCATTCAAAATCAGTATGCAGTTTTGGGACTGCTTTTGAATGGTTAGTATTAATTCTTCCCTTGGGTAGGCAAGGGCATCAGTTTTGCTGCCAATATATTTGGTAAAGAAATAATGCCTGTTTTGACAAAGTGCAGCTTCCTGTTCACATCATGCCTCACATATTATATACATTTTAAAACAAGTTTCCAGTGCTCATGGTAAGTTTAAAACACCTTAAATTAAAACAAATCTAATTACTTTTTTTAATGTACAAACTTTCTTTACCCCATCCATCATTAATTTGAAGGTGCCTAGATCTGTCTACCCTGAAAACCCATAATATAAAGCAGAAGATTTTCTTAGCGGTAATGCCAAAGATTCGTATATGTACAAATCATGTGCACAGAACTCAATCAGCAGCATAAGGAGGATGCTGAACATCCACCCACCCCACCATCTGCTTTTCTAGCAAAACTATTTCTCAATACCCTGACATTTTTTGGAGTACTGATGCAATTTTTTCACATTCAGGGATGAAGCCCGAATCAGTATAAATATCATTTACGACCCACAAATATAAGCCACAAGCCACGTATGGCAGTTTACCAGTGGCTCAATGACCCCTGTGTTTTTGCAGCCTGCTAAAAGGATCAGGGTTATGAAGCAGCCAGCAAGCCACAACTGAAGGCAGATGGGTTGCGTTCAGTGGTGGGTCACAATTTGTGCAGGCCCAAACCATAATGGAATGTAAATTACTCACTGTGTGCAAATGAAATAAAGAGTCTGTGATATATAAAGCAAATGAAATTTAAAGTGTGTGACTGTTGAGGAAAAAAAGACATGGGACTCCAGAGCTTCTCCATATTCTCTGCTAAAAGACTAGCTCCCACCAGGCTGCTCCCTCAACACTCACCAGCAGCCAATCCAGCAGGCTATATTATTATTAATTAATTACATTTATATCCTGCCTTTCCTCCAAGGTCCTCAAAGTAGAATGCATGGTTCACCCATTTCCCTGTTTTATCCTCACTACAATCCTGTCAGATAGGTCAGGCTGAGAGATGGTATCCTGGCTGAGTGGGGATTTGAAGCCTGGTCTCCCAGGTCTTAATCCAACACCCTAACCACTATGCCACAAATAGGAGTAGTGTCTAACCATATGCATGAAGCCAACCCAACACAAAGATTGTGAAGTAGTTAAACCCAACCCAACTCTTGTTGGTGCCACTAGACCCAAGCAGATGTCTAGTTAAGCATCACACTGAGAGGTGCTCAAACTGTTTGGATCCTTGGGTGGCAATCACAAGGACTCACATCTTAATTCATAATGCTTATTCATGGTGAACATTCACAATGTATGAGTTAGGTCTTAGTTTGATTGTCCAAACCAGGGATGGGGAGCTTTCTCCCCTCCAGATGACACTGGACTACAACTCCCATCAGCCCCAAGCAGCCCTGCCAATGATCGGAAATAGGGGGAGTTGTAGTCCAGCAACAACTGCAGGGGGACAGGTTCTTCATTCCTGGCATGAACAAACTCAATGTCTTCTCCCAGCATTTAAAAAGAACACTATCTGTTTTAAGAGATCACTGCCAAGCCTGCACTAATACTCAACACTAGTCAAGCAAAAAGCCTCCTGAACAAGGAGATCTGTGTGTAGAAATAGACTTTTGACTACAGAACGACAAACAGCAGCACTATAGCAACCTCTGTAGAAGTTCCTATGCGAACAGAATTTCAATTCAGCACTGTCTCCCAGGGATGATGCCATTCCAGTCACATTTTTTTTCTAGTGGGCTTTGTTTCAAAGAGAAAGTAATTGTTATTTGGATGCTAAAGGAAGATGCAGGGTATTCAAGTAAAACAGGAATTTTGCAAGCGTCATCTTAGGTGGCTGGTGGGGGTGGGGGAGGAATAGACAAAAGAGCAAAGGATAAAGTTATTTGCAGCTCTGTCTTTAAAACGGCTGGTCACATAACACATTAAATATTTCCAGTCATAGAAAAGGTTATTGAATGAAAAAAAGGGTAAATGAACTTGATGTGGAAATGCTAGCAGGTAGCTATATTGCTACAGAGAATTCTCTGGAAAGATTTTTAAGTGCAAGTCTGATACAAGAAATGGTAATTTGATAAGCAAGGGCTATGTTTTTCCTCCATTCCCTCTTTTGCTATTATATCAATCTCTGTTACTAGGATGCACCTTAAAAAGAAAACAAATTACATTATGTATTTTCTGGCTTGTATAACCTTGAAAAGTATGTCACCTTTTCTTTCTTTTCTTTTCTCATTCTTTCCAGATCACCGAGATATAACGCCAGTGTACCAATGAAAGCATGCAAGAGATTAGACTGATACAGAACATTGGCGAAACACATTGTGTGACCTTTTCTTTCAGAACAGAACAGGTTTGCGACCTCATCTGAATGAGACTCAAGGACAGTCCAAATGTCAACAGGGGAGCAAAAGAGCTTAGAAATAAATAAAGAAATAAAAATATTCTGAACTGTAACGTTTGAACTGTTCTGAGCAACTAATGGGAGAAGCCAATATTGGCATGTCAGTTTTGGGCAAAAGAATAATGTGTCTTCAAATGCAGGTTTTAGTGCCTTCTGCTTGGCTCTCTCTCTTCTTTGCTCTTGGGCCCCCGGACTGACTTGCTTGGTGGCAGTAGAACTCCAAGCAGCAACATTTTCATTCCTTGCAATGCCCCAGAAAGAAACTATGTTAGGAAATTAAAATGGCAACTAGATTGAGGTTCCAGATACTGCTCAGACTTGGGATAAAAGGGGGTGGTGAAATTAAAAATGTGTCACTGGCTAGTCCTGTGCAAAGGCCCTGGCAACTGCCCAAATACGCCAGGTGCTGAGGCCAGGCCTGTTGGGATGGCAGGCCTTAGATATATGATGCTTCTTGCTGTCACTTCTGCATCAGAGCCTGACCTTAGATGTCATAGTTTCTTCGTTTTCAACCATTTGAGCTCACCATGCTATCTTCTGCTATTGGGTCTAGTTATTGCCTTAGCCACAGGTTAACTCTGCGATCAACTCTTGTTTCTTGCTGCCAGGATCTCCCTTAACTTACCTGCCTACCTACTTGATCTAGTTTGGCTGGTTCTTTCCATCTACCTCTTCTACTGTTCCAGCAGTTGGTGAGATCTTTGCCCTTATATACATGCTTCCTATTTTATCATCTTCAAAGGAGCCTGAATGTACTGTCATATCCATTTCTTTGGCAAGCTCAAATAAGCAGGGAGAAAAGGGCTGTGCCTTTAACATGGTATAATGGACCCATACATAAGCTCACCACTTCCATGGGCAGGGGCAATGGTTGTAGTCCCTCACACTCTACCTTCTTCCCCAGCAGCCAAAGCATGCTCGCTTGCCCGGCTGTTGCTGGGGAATTCCCCTCAGCCGGTATTTGAGGGGAGGTCTCCCTTCTCACCAAAGAGGGCAACAATAAATAGGCCAATCAGAGGCCTCACTTTGAGGGCAGAGCCTTGCTGGCTGGCCAGGCATTGGCTACTGGTCTGCCCCACCAGGCAGTGAGGCTAAAAGGCCAGCTGCTTGAGGATCTCACAGCACAGCCAGGTCTTGTATTTGCAATCTGCACTTTAGACAAAGATGAATCAGCAGTCGCTGTGTTTCTGAGCATAGAGAGCTGCTGTCAGTCAGAGTACATGACACTAGGCTGCATAAATAAACAAATCTGACTTTGTACAAGACAGCTTTCTATAATCCTCATCCTCCTGGGATCAACACTGGTAAATATGTAGTTCAAATGTGAGATGCTTTTCCTTTACTCACTCCAGGAATCCTTTACTAATTTGAAAGGAATTGCTGAGAAACAATCTCTTAAAAAATATTAAAGGATTCCTGCAGTGAGTAGAAAAAAAGTGCCTCACATGTTAACTATATGTATACCAGCATTGATTTTAAAAATGCACGACCACACATCACATAAAGGCTTCAAAAGAACAATGACACGATTTTGTTAACAGGCTTTACAAATTCCAACATCATAACAAACAGGCTTTAGATTTCTTCCAGTGAGAGACCACTGATGACTTATGTGGGTCTTTGTAATACTGGTTTTAGGGCTAATCTATAGGTTATGGTCATCTTGCTTTTTGAAAAGTGTGCTTCACACGGCTGCTTCAATTTGGAAGGACAAGATGTCACTGGACCCCCAACTGACACCACACTGCTCATTCAAAATTGTCAGTGTCTGTTTCTGGGCAATATACTGATTACCTAGATCAGGGGTACGGATAGGCAAGTCTGTCAATTTTGGTTTCTCTCCGTTTCTAACCTTTTCAGTCTAGTCTTCCACATTTCCACATCTGTTTGCCTTCTTCTTCTTTTTTCATAAATCCTCATAAAAATCCACTTTAGTGCAAATTTCTCCAAACGTGCACAGTTTGGGAAGCAATTTTGCCTAATACGCACCTTTTTGCAAAGCACATTGTTCCCTGATAGTTATAATTTCCTTAATGGAATGCATTTTTGTTTGCTACTTTCACTAATACATGCATTTTTTTATGCACACTTCCTCTGAGGGTGTGCATTTTTGTACACATTACCGGTACTTGGCTGGAGAAGTGCACTGCAAAATACAGAGAAGTGAAAATGTTGACGGATGCCTGTGTGTCAGTCTGCATAGTGTTTCGGAAATGGTAAATTGTCTAGAAACACCCAAAGCCAGAGGTAGTCAGCAGGGGGGCCCTCAAGATGATGGTGGACTCCACCTGCCACTGGCCCCAGCCAGCATGGCCAACGGTAACACAAAGTGGCTCACTTATTTCTAAATAAATATGCCTGAGATCAGAGTATTAGCTTACAGTGGTACCTCGGGTTAAGTACTTAATTCATTCCGGAGGTCCGTACTTAACCTGAAACTGTTCTTAACCTGAAGCACCACTTTAGCTAATGGGGCCTCCTGTTGCGGCTGTGCTGCCGGAGCACGATTTCTGTTTTCATCCTGAAGCAAAGTTCTTAACCCGAGGTACTATTTCTGGGTTAGTGGAGTCTGTAACCTGAAGCGTATGTAACCTGAAGCGTATGTAACCCGAGGTACCACTGTACACTCTTAAACACTATTCCAAGGGAGGATGCCCTATTCCATTCAGTGGAGTTTATCTCTGAGTAAACACACCTGAGTTTTTTCCTTTTAGTTCTATAGACCTCAAGTGAGAGACTGGGTTCTGTGGGGGGGCATGAGCAATCAAACTGCTAGCAGGAAGAAGAAACTCAGCTTCACTGCTAAACACACTTGCTATGAGTAAAACCCATTTAATTGAGTGGGAACTCCAAGGGAACATGCTTAGAACTCTGCCATATGTCTCATTTGGTAAGTCTCCTATAAAAGGTGGTTGTTGTCAATGTCATCAGAAACATCATCATCATCCTGGGGTTTTCAGCCTGGGGCCCCCCAAAGTAATAACAGCATTTTACTTGTCTAATTTGTTTTGAGATTTCTGTACTGCCCTTCACTAGAAATGGCCACAGGGAAGTTTGCTGGAGGATAAAGCAATATAAATCCTAATACATTACAGTGACAAACATGAAAAATGATCCTTATAAAATACGTTTTGAAATGGCTTAACCCAAAACTACAACACAAACAGCAAATAAGTAAGAATTCAAATCTTCCGATCAAAACAAAGGTACAAAAACAGCAAAATGAGAGAATCAGAGGATTAAAACACCTTCAGTGTACAGAGCATACACACCCACGCAATAGAACAGAATGTGCCCATTTACTTCCTTGCACAAATACAGTGAGAGAGCTTTCCATTCCCATCATTGTTTCAAAATAAGTGAAGGCTTGTTTTTTGCCATTGTTAATCTTTATCTGGTTGCTTTGTATATATTTTACAAGGTCTAGGCATGGGGCTAAGAATAGCAACATGATCACACTCCTTTGCTCTTCTGTTTTGTTAGATTGTTAAGGATGGAGGAAACAGAGCTGAAAATAGTTTCATCACTATGACGTTTCCAGTAAAAACTCCTGTTGCCCCGTTACTATTGTGTAAATGAAGCAGGCAGCCAAATCAGTTCTATAAGCAAACACTGGTTCAGGTTAAACAGTTGGCTCTCAAGAAAGCTTTGTGCCATTGTTGGTTTTCAAAGAATTCCACATGCTTAATTATCTATTGTTAATCATCATCTTACTATATTTGCATGACACTTTTATGCCATTGGCTTTTACTAAGGTCAGATCATGAGTGTTACATGTGGAATATTCTTCTTCTTTTTGTTGATGTGAGCACAAAGCACCATCTTATGTACTGATCACTTCGAAAGAATAGCTTCTTTAAACATTCAGAGCATGGACAGGCCACAATCCAGAATACACAATCAAGACTAGGCCTATCCTATGCATCTTTCTTCTAAATTAAATTCAATAATCTTACTCCCATTTAACTGTGCATTGACTCACTCCAGACAAGCCCAGGTTTGTTCTTGGTTTACCACTCATGAGCCCAGGTTCAGATGCAATGCTAAACAAAAACCATGGCTTTGTCCCTGGTAGCACAACAGCAGCAGAACTGGGGTGGAGCTCTGCATTCTGGGAAGCTACACATTTGCTCATTCACACTAAACAGTGGTTTGGCTTAGTGTTACATACAGACTGAGTCATTATGGAAATAATCTCTACTGGGGGATGCTAGGGACAACAGTTCTAGGGCAAACAGCGTGAGCAGGAGAAGAGATTCAGTTCCCTGCTTCCTATGCTTTCAATCACCCCTGTCCCATTTTAAATGCATTCAGTAGGAGCCAAGCTGCATGTGTCATCACATCTAGTCTGACAGTACATTTTCAGATTTAAGATAGACCTGGCACTATTATACAGAAAACACAATCCATTCAAAATAAACATTTTTCTCTTATTGAGTTACGAACCTGGATAACATTTCTCACACTGAAACAGGGTTTTAAAGTACTTCACTGTATCAAATGGGGCCAGTGTATCCTCCTTCTGTTGTACATTATGTTAACCTACAGTAACTCCCATTTTAAAAGTGGCAGATATAAGCCTTGATCTTCGGAAGTTCTTCCCTACTTGCAATATACCTAGTTGCTCATGATGGGCAGACGACCTTTCAATGACCTATAGAAGATAAAATGTAACAGCAACCCTATGCACACTTATTTGCAGTGAACTTCCAATTCCATACGAACAATCAAAGGATTGCACGGCACAATTCTTAATAGCAATATAGAAAATCATACCAATCCCTCTTTCAGTGAAGGTTCAGCACTGTGGAGAGAGATTTATGGTTTACAGCGGGAAGCAAATAGATTGCAAATCC